TCCTGAGGGGGGGGGGGGTGGCGACGTCGCGGCGCCAGGTCTGCGACGGTTATCTGACGATTTCGTGCTCGGCGAGGCAAATTAAAGAAGGGTAGGAAATAAATTGATAGCAAGACCCTCCGAGTGTCATCGTACTCATCGAAACGAATGAACGTACGGGTTAAACCCTTATCCCAGAAGTGAATATGGTCCCAGCGTTAAATTCGCTACCTTTTTCATTTTCAATTTGCGTTGATACGTCATGGAAACTATTAGAACACATTTTTTTTCATACAAATCCAAACCTAGGTCGTTCATACGCAAGGCCTAATATCCAACGTGTCGCCTTGGTTACAAGAACCAAAAAATCTCCAGCCGTTTCTCGTATTTGCGTAAGAGCAAAGAGTGTCAACGATATCGTATAGGGAGAGGCACATGTACGTAGGTATACACTCCGCTGATACATGGGTGAGGTCTGACGATGAGAACGCGTTACGATAAGGTTTTATGGCCCGTCAGTCATCCTCTGGGTGAGCCATACCCGCAGCCCAAGCCTGCTATCAGCTAACGAGCTGCCGGTATCGTCCAAGATGCATCATTATAGTTAAACGAAAAAAAAGGAGAAAGTGAAAAAAAAAGTCGAAAGGAATTTCATTAATCCCGCGCTGACAAATTCGATCGATCTAACGTACGAACTGTACTCGATTACGTATTACTCGAAAAAAATGCTTTATCCGTCATTTTTTCCTCAAAATACAAATAACGTAGAGAAAGGTGATTTTTTTGGAAAAAAATTTTTTTTACCAAATTTCTAAAAAAGATTAAAAATTTTTTTTTTTAATTTTTATAAAATAAAATCAGTCACACCCCCTCGTTTCTACCACCCCTCGTCGAAATAAGGGCGACTGACGTCACGCACGTTGTACAAGGGTTGTTCGACGTGAAAATAGTTCAAGAAACCGATGTTCGGTTCGCATGCCGACTATTGAGGCGTGAGACATTTCTTTGCCAGGCTGCCAGTCAGGGGTGGGCTGGGTTCTTTTAGCCCGCGCGGTTGGTACACCCTCTGAGGGTGTCGTTCATCATTCCCGTTTCCGTGGCAAATGGGGAATATTCATAGAGTACCTTCCTCGACGTGCCGACGTTAACGCTATATAACGTAACCACTGGCATCCTACGAAATTCCTCATAAGAGAAAGCGAATGAAAAGAAAAAAGAGAGACGTGATATACGACGTGGGCGAGCACGTGGTTCGCTTCACACCTTCTTACGATTTTACCACCCTCTAGTTTCACCCTCTCGCTCTTCCACTGTCTATGGCTCTTTTTCTCTCTCATTCTCGGGCCTGCAGTGCACTGCTCTCTGCTCTCCTTATACAACGGTTACGGGACTCCTGGATGAGATCCAGAAGATGCTGTAGCAGGTGGACCCTGAAGATAGCGAAGTGTCCGATAGATAGTAATACAAGGCCTGAAGCCCAGAAACAATCTCTGAACGTAAAATTAGGATATAACCTCAAAATTGTTTAAATACCAGTACCACCTGTGTGACAGATACAAAATAATTATACCACCGACGTAATCCGTCGATTAAATTGATATTAAAGATCTTATTAATCTTTCGGTGCACGTTATAATAAACACAGTTAATTTCCAAGTGTACCCATGAAAATTGTCTTAGAACTATGTGTGTCTTTCTCTGACTTATATACGTAAACGTATGTCCATCTCTCTCGCACTCATGGGAAGTATAGGAATTTTTTTGAAATTTCCAAAAATTTTTTTGGTTCTCAAAATAAATTTTCATACACGCCCATCGCTCCCGTGTATCGTACGAGACAGCGTCAATTTTTTATTTATCTAGAAAATTATAGTTACGTAATACAATCTGACAGCTGTCCACGTGACAGCTGTCAAAATTAATTGGTAACCTATGAACCTGAGATTGCACGCTATACCAATCAGCACGTGCGTGGCTTTCGTGAGCTTCGTCGATAACCAAAAATTGTGCGTAACCCGTTAAGAGAGTGCGAAAGGGGGCTACGATGGGTATAGAGGCATAAGAGAGAATACCATACCTAATCCGTAGGGCACAGTGGGAAAATAATTTGCGATAGCGCGTA